TTGGTTACTCTGCCACCTGAAGATATTCCACCCATGTTATCTGCCAGAGTTAGTTATCCAGAAATCAGAGGATATTCCCTCTGATATTACACCTGTAGACCAGCTATATAAGGTCATCATCATATAATGAAAGTAATGAATGATTCTCCCTTAATTTTCTTCTTCTTGAGTCCAGTTTATTACTTCCCCCCCTTCCCTCTTTTCTCTCCATCTTCTGTTTCAGGAGGTCAAGCCTCCCTCGAAGAGGTTTCCGAGGTGAGCGGAAACTCACCACCCCCCTTCCTCTTCATCCTCCACCTAACCCCCTCCTCTTAAGGAGGCTTATGCCTCCTTGTGTTTGGGAGGCTTACGCCTACTTGTGTTTGGGAGGCTTACGCCTCTTGCGTTCTGAACTATGCCTCACACCTCTAGGTAGTGGAACGCCTCGCGTCATGCCTCCGCATTTTAAAACATTGCTTTGTATTAAGGTCTTTGGTGCCAAAGTTAAAATCTTCTTCAATGAAGCTTCTATAAAATATGCTCAGATATTTGTAATGTTCATCTTTGATTGAAAGAACTTTTCTTTGGGCGTTTCCACCTTTGTGTTCCTTGTTCACTCTTGTTGAGCTTGTTAGAGCCATAGAGCCCCCGAAACCCTTTCACCTCCTGCTAGGATAGAGGTTCAAGGTCATTGTTAAAGTTCGGCCTGCCCTAGAAGTCTGTTTTGTTTGTTAGCTGTAAAGTAAACAGCAAGAAGGAAGAGAGGAAAGAAGAAGGAAGAAAGAGGAAGGAGAAGAGAAAAGGTCTGGTTCGAAAATAGGAAAAAGTCAACCCTAGTTTCGGCCAGACCTGTTATTATATTATTAATGTGATTGGAAAAGACATAAGTGMCCTTATTTAAGTAAGAGGCACTCGAACTAACATAATAGTACACATCAGCACTCTCAACAGGTACAAAGACCGAAATACCCCTTCACTAACAGTCATCATCTTTGTAGGTTGCAAAGCTGGAAGGTTGGTATTTTCACTGTTACAGTACCTAATGTTACAAACTTACAATACCTTTGTTGCTGCTAATCGGCTTTAGTGAGATTTACTCCACTTAGGGACTAATGGCCGCACCACTGTGGGAAGGTTAATGGACCTCATGTGCACCCTGCTATGTTCCCACGCCTTAATCCCCCTTTAATGTGTAGCACGTAATATCAAAAAAAGGTTTAAAAGAAGAACAAGTTTAGTGGTTGACACTATAAAGTGCATAGAAATGTTTTTTTCTCTATGTACATTATAGAGCTAAATCAGAAGACATGTCAACATTAACCTAATACTCAACACACGTAGAAACTGTCTGGTGTTGACATGTGTCAGACAACTGAAATGGATAACCTGTTCAATAATATATAGTTTCTTTAGGGAAACAGCTGGGATTTTACATTCTTTCTAAGAAATAAACTTCAAATCTTTGAGTTATATCGTATATTCAGCCTGCTTCTACATGGATTAAACATTCAATTAGTAGGCCAATTCTTGACAAGCTATTGCTTGTAACTTTTAACTGGCCACCTTAACCTTTCAGTGAACTAATTTTTTTAATCAATATTCAGTGACCTAATTTCTTTCAGAAAAGAAGCTTGAAAAGTAAATTCCAGTGTACATGCATATTTAGGATCCAATTTGCTCTTTGTCTATTTTCTATCCCGAGGTTGGCTGCTGGTCGAACTGCGAAAATCTGGTCATAAATGGTTCATTTGTCAAGGTAGTAAGGACTTAGGATGAACACGACTTCCTTGTATTTATTGGGAAGAAAGCATTGCTTTTGGTCTTTTATCAAGAAACCTGGAAACTGCTTTTGATTTTAGTTTCCTTTTATTTGAAACCTTTGCTAAAGTATCTTATGCTTGCAGATATTCGTGTAAAGGAACCATCACTGGAATCTTTGTGCAGGTAGAAACTAATCAGTCTAGTTCCTTCTTGTTTATAGGCATTTGGTTCATAATGCTGTGGGGTAATTTTTTGTGTGCTCTCTGTACCCTTGGTTATTTCCAGAGGTAGGAAGCAATATGAACCACCAAGGTATATGACAATTAACATCGCCATTGAACAGCTCTTGGAAGTTGAACAAAAGTATGGAGAATCTGGTAAGATTCATCAACTTTCAATTTTCAGCATTTTTATGCCTTGTCCTTTTAAATATCTCAAATTAATGGATTTGTCCTTTTTTGTCTTGTTTCTTAGCATACTCGGACTAAGTCTAGATTATTTTTGGTAATTCTCTGGGTTCACTCTTGGACCTTATTGTCATGACAACTTGTTAATTAAGAATGTATTTTTTTTTTGATAAATATTGTTAATTAAGAATATACAACTTTAACAATTTTGAAGAAATCTAGGTTAAGGAATTTGGTCCAAAAAATATATGGTTACAAGTAATCCTGACACAGAGATGGTGAGAGGAAACTCTGTTTATGCGTTTCCACAGGTAGAGTTCACTGCTAAATTTGATCCAACTCGTTAATAGCAAACATCTAATTTATCACATCCTTTCTATATGGGAATTAGTGGTCCAGAGAAAGTCTACAAAGTATGTTGCTACAACCTATTAATTGAATCTAGGAAGGACCTACCAGAGCTCAAAGTATGTTTCTAATGTTTGATACACCTTTTCTAACTTTTTCTGCTCCATGTTTCAGGGTTAGGTAAAATAGGGGGAGGTCTAATGATTAAACCCAGAAACCTCCCTAAATATCTTTTATAGGTGTTTCAGTGGGTTCAAAAACCGACGATATGTATCATACAGGTTGCACCAATTCGTGTGATATTTTGAACCTCGGGGCACACTAAGTGGTGCCTCTCTACCTGTCTATGTCTTTACAGATAACATTACATATTTACCTATTTTAACCATACCAAATTTCAGATCCAATATTTAGCTAAAATTTTCTATGATGTTATTAATTAGCAAAGCAAAGAGCTGCCACTAATTTGTGAACCTGATAATATTTTCCATATGAAACAAAGTAAGACTGATTTAGTTATATTTTGCAATGGTGGACCGACATACTTGTATACATGCCTAAGGTATATGCTGTTTAGTCCAATTCATTGCCTTATCTTGTGAATGGATCCATCAGAAATAATTAATGGGTTTATTTGCCAGTAAGATTTGCAATCCAAATCAACAGGTGACAATGACGTTGCTTTAATCCTGTAATTGGATGAGGTGCAATTGCATATGGCATCAGAAAGGACATGTGGAGGTGGAAGGTAAACAAATAAAGAATGGGAATATTTAAGAGCATTCCTCAGAATGGAAAGTGATGGTGAGGGATGCTAAGAGTGGAGAGTTATCCAGAACTTACAGTGTCATCAGGAATCCCTTGGGAGTGGGGCAGGCATCATGCTCCAGACAGGCTGTTTGAAACAATCCTCAGAGGTAGGAGCTGGCAATATGAATCAGTGTTCTAAAAGGCATTTGATGCTTGTCCTGAGTCTTGCCTTGAGTTGATGCATAGTTTGCATCTAACATTAATGCCTAGGTGCCTATTGACAAATAAGGCCTATAGTATACAGGAAATAGCACATTTTACATTCTCACATTTTTCTTGTTTAATGTAGAAAGTATAATAAAAATGAACTAGAAAGCATAACCACAAAAACCCTAATTTCATAAATACTAACAAACCAAACAGCATGTGAACATCATTAAGAAACACAAATTATCAATTAACTAAGCATGTAATGGCACAAAAACTAAAACAGGAAAAAAAAAGAGCATTGCTCTTCTAGAGTTGCAAACTTCAGCATGTCAATGGAGAAACAGGGCTTCTACCCCACCTTTTTCTTGATGGATTTTGGATATGGACTCAACCAAACCCGTACGCTTATAGCCCTAGTTGGGTTGGCAAAATTCAACCAAGTGCCAGGTTGGAGCAATTGTGTGGACTGAGTTTTCAAAGTTTTCAGAAGATATTCATGCATTTAAACCTTAGCCACACCAAAGCCAACCAATTCTCGTTTCCCTGTTGCCGTGGTGGACAAAGTGGTGGATTACAATTATACATGAATGATGGTGCATTACTTCTAAATTTCTTTACTTCTGTGTGACAAGTAGCAAGGACAATAGAGAAAAGGGACAAAGGAATTACACCAAGGGGAAATTTACTGTGAAAGGCTCTGTACAGATGGCTGGGTGTACAGAAGGCAGTATTGCAGGAGGTCTTCTAAATAGATGATATGTCTGTGTTGGGCGCATGTCAGATTCTGTTGAGACCTTGAGGGAGACATCTCTATAACATTTCTTTCTTATCTCCTAGCTTATTTGACATAAACAAGTAACTATTGTACAAGATGAATTGTTTAAATAGTATATACTATATACTAGAAAAGTATAAACATCTCCATGAGTTCATGCTTTGTTGTATTTACCAAGTCAGAGTCTTGGACATGCATTGGGTTCTGACTGCCATGTTTGTGTCCATACGACACTGACAAAAGGTCATCTAAAAACAACTTAAGGAAGCTTGTATGATAAACTGGTTATTGAAGGTGACTCCAAAGTAAATATAAGCTGGTTGTTTGATGGAAATATGGCTAAATGGAGTTATAGAATTCTAGTCCTAGATTTTGTCGGGGAGGGTTGGAAGCTTGAGGGGGGAGTTATAGAATTCCTCGTGTCTTTCAGATGTCCCCTTTGCCTAAGTAGATTTGCAAAATTCTTGAACACATGTCGTTCCATCATAAATGACTCATAGTATCTGTCCGGATTCTCTAAGTCATTTAGGATTTCATGCCATATGTATGTATGTCCCCTTAGAGCTGATGTCCTACATGGTCGCTTTGGTTTTCGCGTATTATATGCATCCAACACCAAAGGTACAACACCCATTACCATCATGTCATCGTCTGATGATGACGAATCATCATCGTTCACATGCCTCTTACACCAACGTGTTGCCATGATAATATGTTCCATTGTTATAAACAATATTTACCCTATGATGGCTTCCATAAACAAGAATGAAACATAAAATGAAACAGAAAATAAAGCAATAGAAAGAAACCTAACATGGTCAATACGTAGTTGCCCAAAAATGATCAAATTCATGAGTAAGCATTCTGACATGTAGTTTCCCCAAAATAATGTTCATACAAGTGTTCAATCATGTATTCCAAAACGAAGCCTAACATGGTCCATACAAGTGTTCCAAAAAAGTCACATAGGAAGCATATCAAAAGGTCGAGAAAACCAAACTACTAGTTCCAAAATAACAGTGTGATAGAAGATGTCAATTATAGCTCGGTGGTCTATTCCTGTATATGAGAGCAACAAGCCAAGGTCCCCTAAGATCATATCTCATTGTCATGAAAGATTTGTTCCATTTTGCATATTGGAAGAGTTCCATCGCCTTTAAGTAATAGTAGGATGGGAAATGCAATGTGTCATACATGTCATTAAGAATGCTCATGCATTGTTGTATTTCTACCATCTCTTTCATTTCCTTTTTTGTTTCCATCTTTAGCCTTTCTTTTTTGTCATTTTCTCTTGCTACCTCCCTTTCGTACATCTCTACATCTTGTTCCATTCGTCTTTTCTTTGTCTCCACCCAAGTATGAATGACACGTTCAGTCCATTGAAGGTTCTACCTTTTCCCCTTTTTCGTGTTGCTTGGAGGATCCCCAACTCTTGTATGACGTTCAGTGGTCTCCACTGGGATCTCCTCATCAAGATTAGCGATGTTGGGAGTTGTCAGTGATTCTCTAGTGAATGGGGTTCCACTGTCATTGAGACCAACTACTGGTATAGAACTAGACGGCTGTGGGGACTCAGTAAGATGATCTGGATCCATGTTGGTTAAGTAATCCCTATTTCCAATTGCTTGTGTCCCCTCAAATATGTATTCTAATTCATTCTAGTTTCGATGTCTTTGTCCTAAATTTCTTTGCCCAGTTGTATGTCTGTATGTGTTTATGTATAATCAGTATTTGCATCAATCAACTTTTAAACCATGTCGGGTTTTGTGATTCACTGACCTTGTGATTCACTGACCTTGTGATTATGTGTTTATGTATAATCAGTATTAGCAACCGGAATCTTGGTGATTATTTCTTATTTGTATGCCACCATTTCTCTATTTGTATTCGAGGCCCTTTTTACCGTATATAGTATTTCTCTATTTCTATTAAATATCTTAATTGTGATATATATTTAAAATAATTAAACCCTTCCCATCTTCAACACCAATGAATTTGCACCAGGATTCAACAGGTAGGATTGAACTAACAGATAGGAAAAACAAGATATTTGTATACTTGTCTCAAGTCTCATCTGTAGATAAACACTCAGGGATCTAATGCACAAACATGTGACAAGCAGGATGGATGCAAATACATCAACTAATGATGATTGTAGGATAACCGATCAATCCGCAACATAGACTAATGCGGAAGAAGAGGCATTCATCAAGCTGATGGTTAAGATGGTGATGGACGGGAATAGACCTACATCAAGTTTCAATAGCATAGGGTGGAATTATATTAGTAATCATTTTAATTGAATCCACAACAAGAATTATGTGCATGCGCAATTCAAGATCAAATACGACATACTTAGGAGGTGCCACTAGCGCTACAACAAATTCATAAATCATATTGGGTTTACGGTGGATCCCATCACCAAGATGCTGGTTGCCAATGAAGATATTTGACAAAATTTACAAGGTCAGTGAATCACAAAACCCAACATGGTTTAAAAGTCGATTGATGCAAATACTTGTTATACATAAACACATGAGATGAATTAGAATACATCTTTGAGGGGACACAAGCAGTTGGAAATAGGGATTACTCAGCCAACATGGATCCAAATCATCTTATTGAGTCCCAACAACCGTCTAGTTCTATACCAGTAGTTGATCTCAGTGACAGTGAAACCCCATTCACTGGAGAATCACTGACAACTCCCAACATCGTTGATCTTGATGAGATCCCAGTAGAGACCACTAAACGTCATACAAGAGTTGGGGATCCTCCAAGCAACACGAAAAAGGGAAAATGCAGAACTTTTAGGGGATTGAGCGTGCCATTCATACTTGGGTGGAGACGAAGAAAAGACAAATGGAACAAGATGTAGACATGTACG